GTAGCTGTTCAGTGAAATATGGCTCTGTGTAGTAAATGCTGCTCCATCTGAAAGCACACGATGGAGATTTACTACTGATCACAGAACCGGCTTTACTGACAAGATGCGCATGACTATCACATTCGATTAATCGTGCAGCCCTAACTCTGACTGTGCTCTACTTCAGCTGGTGAACACTATTGAGACACAGAGTCCTTCAGTGATGGAGAAGAAACCTCAGTCCAGCTCTCTCAGAGTCATACAAGAAGGTGAGACGACTTCAGTAGCTTTATATAGAGAAGTATAGTAGAATAAACAAGGCCGCTGAACAGTTCTGCTGAATGTGTGAACAGTGAGGAGCTACTGTCCTTCACCGCATCGGTTTGGAGCGATGACCGACCCAGAGAGAGAAGATGAGGAGGTTTTGTCTTCTTCTGCATTGACCCGAAGTTCAGTCTATCACGAGCGCTTTCCTCCGACAGGTACATGATCATCTCTCCTCACATACGTGCTGCTTAAGACTAGTGGAAAGAAAACATGCAAAATACACTTGGGGCTGTCAAAAAAAAAAAAAAACGAATTTCGAATATTCGTCGAATTTAAAATAAAAATCCACATTTTAGGTGTGCGTCAAGCTGCCTTATCAGTGGCACACGAGATGCGATGACGATGTAGGTGTCATTGCATTTTAATTCGTTTTTTTAGCCTATCCAGTTGAACCCACTAGATGCGGCGCTGCTGCGCTGTTCATTCAAAATGTTGTTTACGTCAAAACTGAAACCAAAACAAATTAGACGAGTAAAGAAAACGCTGTACTTGTTAAAAGAATCACCCCTTTATTTAAACATATGAACACAGGAAACCGCTGTTAACAAGTTAACTTACTGTCTGTATAATATTGAACATGGTTCTTCTGCGCTGCGTCGTCGTCTTGTTTGACAGGTGTCAGCGTTAATGCACAATACTGCCCCCTGGGAGCTCAACTCTGGTACTGTCGCTGGAGTTGGCTATTTTGCAAGTCCTGTTTTCATAAGTGTCCTGTTCATTTTAAATATTATGGTTATCGCCAATACCGGTATTTCATCACACCCTAAATTAACACAATGTCGATATTTCATGATGCGAATATCAGTTATCGTCAATACCGGTATATCGTGACACCCTAAATTAACACGATGTCGATATTTCATGATTCGAATATCAGTTATCGTCAATACGGTATATCGTGACACCCTAAATTAACACGATGTCGATATTTCATGATTCGAATATCACGGTTATCGTCAATGGTATATCGTGACACCCTAAATTAACACGATGTCGATATTTCATGATTCGAATATCAGTTATCGTCAATACGGTATATCGTGACACCCTAAATTAACACGATGTCGATATTTCATGATTCGAATATCACGGTTATCGTCAATACCGGTATATCGCGACACCTCTATACAGTACATATCTTTAAAGAGATTTTTCTCCACTTCAGTTGCACTTGTATAAACCAAACTAATCAATTTTATTCCTCTCTATATTCTAAAGGATTTTACTGAGGAGGTTGTTTATATCATTCACCCACACTCACAAACACACACACACACACATACACACACACACACACACCTACAGCTGAAGTCATGGATGTGTGTGTCTCTGGTTCTGTTCCTGCAGATTTGACAGAGTCTTTGCTTGAGAATCCTGTGAAGTGAGTCTGAAGTATTTGACTCTTTGCCAGTGATTTCTCTGTATTTTTCCATCGGGATTTCATCCTGTTTTTCTCTCGTCAGGCCGGCGGAGGAGACTCTCGGTGTCAGCGGCCTCAGTGACGTGAAGGACATTCTGTGTGAGTTAATCAGGGACGGTGCTTTATCCCCATCAGCGCTGGATCTGTCCCGATCAGGAACGCTTCATCTGAGCAGGTCAGCTTCACAAATGAGCTCACTAGGATGGTTAAAGCAACCTAATACAGCTTTGTAGTAGTTAGAGCACGTATTATTCCCTCTTATGGTGTTAGTCAACGTTTCTTTCATCAGAAACAGTCATAGTCGAGTTATTCATGAGCAGTTTTTGCTCAGATGCTGAGTTTTTATGTTTCCATTTTCTTTCTAATTTTAGTTAACTTTTTATTGATTTGTTGTTGTTGTTTGTGTGTGTGTTTTTTAAAAGTTTATTAATTTATTGTTTTATTTTTAGTATTAGTTATTTTTGTTTAGTTGAAAGCCTAAAATAACTAAAACTAAAAATGAAATAAAAATTCATAAAAACTATATAGACTTAAAAAAAACACACACAGCTAATGAATAAAATATTTTATAAAATTAAAAAGAAAATGGACAAATAAACCCTAACTCAAAATATTAATAAAATGTTCTGTAGTGATTGTATTAAATTTATTGTTATTTTAAAAATGAAATAAAAATTCATAAAAACTATATAGACTTTAAAAAACACACAGCTAATGGATTAAATGTTTAATAAAATAAAAAAGAAAATGGAAAAATAAACCTGAACTCAAAATATTAATAAAATGTACTGTAGTGATTTTATTAAATTTATTGTTATTCTAAATGTCTCTTTGTTTCCACTAATTAAAAAATTCAATATATAACATTCAATAAATTATTTTAACTTTAATTTTATTTTGACTGAGTTTTTATCTTTCCATTTTCTATTTTCTTTTTTACTTTAATTAACATTTTATTGATAAACTGAAAACAAGAAAAAAGTTAATAAAACCTATATAGTCATTAAAAAAACACACACAACAAATTACTAAAATGCTAACTAAAATTAAAAAGAAAATGTAAAAATAAAAATTACCTAAATTTTAACAAAATAAAATGAAATAACAAAGTATAAGTTTTGTTTATTTTATTTTATTTCAGTCAGTGAAAATGTTTTTAATAGTTTTAAGTCATTAAAAAACACACACAACAAATTACTAAAATGCTAACTAAAATTAAAAAGAAAATTTAAAAATAAAAATTACCTAAATTTTAACAAAATAAAATGAAATAACAAAGTATAAGTTTTGTTTATTTTATTTTATTTCAGTCAGTGAAAATGTTTTTAATAGTTTTAGTCACCTGTACTTACCCTGTTTGGATAAAAGAGTCTGACTGTTGAACAGTCTGAATCGAAACGATCTGTGTTATGATTGGCTAAGTAGGTCAGTGAGGGATGCGTGACATATTTATTGATTGATTTGATTGGTCTGCGTGTGTGTGGTGGGCGGCAGGTCAGAGGTCAAGCCGAGCGGAGCCATGATGGAGGAGGAGCGCAGGGATCTGAGGATGTGGATGAGGAGGAAACAGAGAGAACGACTGATAGAGTACAGAAAACAGAGAGAAGAGAAGAGAGAGAGAGAGCGCAGACCCTTCATCTCTCCAGTTAAACATGTGAGACGCTGCAGATCAAACCTCTGTCAAACTGTTTGCTTTTGATTGTAATTATTAGGGATGCACCGATACCGATACTGGTCTCCTGTACTCGTACTTGTTAAAATGCCCCGATACCAAACGCCGATACCACACAGCATGTGATAAGCGCCATATTCAAACAAAGAAACACCGACAACAGAACAACAGACAGCAGAAAGGAGTTAAGGATGTCTACTACGAAGTATATGTATGCAATGAATATAATGTTAAACATTCAGTATTAACGC